CGTGCGCCTACGGCATCCACTCCGGCTCTGTCTGCTGCTGCAACTCGATGTCAAAGAGCAATGCTTGGATCTTGGAGCCATCTGTCTCCAAGCCCCGGCCGCTGTCCGCTTGCCACTCGGCTGAGGCTGTGCTCTCTGGAGAGGAGAAGCGGCGGATGGTGATGGCTGGCGGGGAGAGTTCCTTCTCGGCCTTCAGGGCTTTGGAGATGCTTTCCACCGCGCTGCCCGAGAAGTGGCGGAGGCGGCCGGCGTCTTCCACGTGGCCACCGGGTCCCTCCGGTACCGCACCCGGCGTGGCGTCTCTGGTGGTGGGACTCTTCCCGTGCCCGTTGGGAACCAGGAGCTGCCCACCGGAGCCGTGGCCCTTGTGCTCCCCGGAGGGGCTGGCCCTTCTGGCGCTGTAGGAGCTGGAGGGGCTGAGGGCCAGGCGGTGGCAGGCGAAGGGAGACGTCCACTTCAGCTTCTCCATGGGGATGTTGACGGCATTGCAGAAGGCCGAGTTCATGAGGAAGGCACCGCAGGCCAACTGCAGAGACGCCTGCAAGGAACAGGGAGCACAGAGAGGAGCTCTGAGATGCCAACAGCTTCTGGGAAGTTCAGGAAAAAGGCATGCATGGATGGGGTCGCTCTCTGTCTCTGAGCAGTCCGTGGGACATGGCCATCAGAGGCAGCAAGAGGCAGGAGCCGGGGGGGATCCTCCTGCCCTCTGCTCCCCTGCAGTGATCACACAACCCTGCCGAGAGCCGGGGCCGAGCTGCTCACCAGGGGAAGGTAGTCTACGTTCTCGTTGTCGCCCTCAGAGCTGGCTTCGCTCACTCTGCTCGGAGACTTACTCATGAACCCTCTGGCAGCTCGAGTCAGCAGCCTGGTTTTATTGAAGGTCAGCCTGCAGGAGGAGGAAAAGGTGGCCATAACCTCCATGTCCCCCCTGATGCCCCACCCTCCCCTCCGAAACCCATCCCTGGTCCCCAGGCATCGCACTCGCTCCCGACTCCAGCTGTGAAATGCTGGGGTGTCCCTCCTGTCCCCCTCGCTTGTGTTTTCAACAGACCCACGGAGGCACAGAGGAAGGTCGAGCTGGCGCATACCTGGCTGCAAAGAGGCTCTCGATGGATTTTTGGGCTTGTTCAGAGGAAGCAGACAGGCTCTGTAATGGCCCTGGGAAGAAACGCAAAGCTGGGGGTAACACGGGGTGATACAGGAGAGCGAAAGGGAGCAGTGTCTGTGTGCTGGGACAGGGGGGTGCCTTATCCTGCTGCGAGGCTTTGGCAAAATCCTTCCTCCCTCCTCGCCTCCTTTTTCCTGTGCGGGTAACAAAACTCCTGTGCTTCTCAAAAATGGACCTGGGGGAAATCTGTATCCCAGGCCCCATCAGGGCTCTGTCCATTGCACCCCTGGAGAGAGTCAGGTCTAATTTTAGGTGATAAACACCCCAAAACTCAGGACAAGTATTTGGTGAAGAGCCCAAATCAGGGACTTGATGCACCTGCACCCCGACAAGCACCACCAGCCCTTTCCCCTACCTTCAGGGAGACTGCAGCGCTCCCAGCCAGAGGAAGAAGGGGTGCTGCAGGGCGACCTGTTCTCCTCTGCATCTGCAAGGGAGGAACCACGTCACCAACGCCGCCCAGCCGAAATCGCCACCGCATCGGGCTGCGGCACGGCCGCTCTCCCTCTCCGCCGCATTATCAGGTTAACGAGCCTGATCAGGGGGGATTTTAATTCAGCCACAGAGCTGACAGTGCCAGACGAGGTCCCATCCAACTCGTCTTCATTAGCGGAGGATTTGGTGACAAGCAAGTGTCTCACATCCCCTTGCCTCTAATCACACCCGGTTTCATCCCTCATGTTATCTGTGTTACGGCTGCCAATTAACTTCCAAGCAGTGTCAGCAGCCACTGCCTGCGATTTGGGAATTTCAGGGGAAATTGCAGCTTCTTCCCCAGTTAAGAAGACGGACTCCAGCCAGACACGTGTCTGGTGAGCACCATATTCAAAGAGGAAGAAAAAAAGACCAGAGATGTCTTTTCATAGACTGAACCACTGAGATGTCACCAGGAAGGAGACAAAACCCCAGGGAATCTTACTCGGGCCGTAAAATCCATCGTCTCCATTCTGGCCGCAAGCTGACTGGGGGCGTCCAGGGGAAAAGCCACGATGTCTTCTCTTTCCTGAGCTCAGGCTCCGCTGGCTGCCTTGCTTGGGTGCGGCCCCTTGGCATGAGAGAAGGGAATCGCCAGTGTTAGAGAGGGACTGGCACACCCAGGATGGCAACCCAACCCACAGACTGGTGAGCTTGGTCATCTCTGGGCGTGCAGACCTAAGAGCAGACCTTCTGCCCGGCCTGCCCTCCCGCCCAGGGCAACGTCTCGTCCCTCCGCCAGCCCCACGTTACCCGTGTGGGTGTACTCGATGACGGTGGGCAGGTAGGCGTTGGTGCTCAGGTCCACCGGCATGAACGCCGTGTACTTGCTGATGACGTTGCAGGCCTTGCTGGTGTGGACGGCGTTGACCTGGTAGCGCCGCCCGGACCCTGCCATGTGAGACCCCACAGGGTTAGAGTCCACGTGCCATGTGGGCTCCACCCACCCCTTGGATCCAGCTCCCAAACCCACCTCCGTGCTTGGGCTCCATGCCGAAGCAGGGACTGTATCCCTCTAAACTCTGCCTACTGCCTCTTCTGCTCTTATTTTACATGCACAGACGCACTTCACGGAGGAGAAGTTTGGCAAGACCCGGGCACGCGTGCAGCCCAGAGCAGTGACGTGTGGCTGCTCTTGGTCCCTCCGAGTTTGATGCCACCTCCCAACTCCAGCTGACTAACTCCATAAAAATAACCCCTGTCACCCACCGCGTGAAGCAGAGGAGCACGAAGGAGCACGAGCTCGAGCACGTTAACGGGCAGCGAAGCTGCGGGGGCAGGAGAAAAGTGCAAGGCAGCTGGAAGGGGCCGTTATTTGGGAACTACACAAGACATTCCCTAATATTTCACCATTGCCTGCCCTTGTATTAACTCGAGAGGCTGCTGAAGCTGCGGGAAAGCCCACCCCGAGGCAGGGCAGGGTCTGCTTGCAGGAGCTGTGCGTTACCGTGCTCGATCTCACACTCCTTCTCAGCGAGCTGCTCGAAGTCCCGGATGACCGACTTGGCTGCCAGGTGGTGGAAGGTCTCGCTCCACAGGTCAGTGTCGCCATCCGCCTGGCTCTCCCGCTCTTGGAAGAGAGGGCGTATGTCAAAGGTGACTTCCCACTGCACGGGCTCGTTGCTCCTTAGCCCCTTCACCACTGCCTTGCAGAGGGTCCTGGGGGAGCGCGGGGAGCTGCGGGCAGTGCCGAAGTCGAAGTCTTGGGGCTCCCAGTCAGAGGAAGTCTCTGTTTCAAACGTGAAGGAAGGATGCTGGGCAGACTCTGCAGAGAGGGGAGAGGCAGGTAATTAATCACATCTTTGAGAGCTGAATTCCCCACTGCCACCAAGAAACCATAATTAATACTTCCTAAGATTCACACGGTGGCACAGAACGCAATGCAACGCCACCGAAACCCCGGCACGGACAGGTGAACCTGGCTGTGCCCCCCTCTCTCCCGTTACCCAGATCCCCAGGGCTCCGGCTATCCGATGAGGACCGCAGACTGGCGCTGGCATCGAGTGGTCCCAAACCTCTTCCCAGAGCCACTTGCTGCAGCCCGTCCGGCACGGACGGGAAGTCGGCGCCGGGGCAGAAGGACACGCAGCTCCGGTGAAGCAGGGGCGGCCGGCGGGGGCCCGAGCCTGTGGATCCTCGTGGCAGAGACGAGCGAGCCGGCTGCAAAGGACTGAGAGCAGAGCGAACGTTAGGGCCGGAGCTGGCTGCAGCCCATGGCATGGACCTGCTCCATCCTTTCTGATCCAGTCTGCTCCCTTCCCAATCCCAGCGTGAGATACAGTCACGCAAACCCACGGGTAGCTCAGCCCTGGCTGGGATTCGTGCCCAGAGGGGTGTCCCCAGGGGACCCTGGCCCCCAGGGCTCCTTCCCCAGACATGTGGAAGGTGAAATATGAGTTTCATCCCTGCAGGCATCTTAATAACTTCACTTGGGAACCAAAGGAAAGAAGACAGACAGGAAGATCAAGGACCAGTTGCTTAGTAACGAAAGGAGTGAGGCGCAGGGGATGAGGAGAAGGAAATTTTTATCTTTTTTTAACAAGACTGTTTCCCCACTTTCAGAAGACATGAACTTCCCCACAGCACCTCCAGTGCCACATCCCGCATGGATGTCCCCCTCTGTGGCTAGCAGAGACACCAAGTGTCTGCTCTACCCCCATCCCCAGGGCTGTGGGAAGGTCCCTCCAAAACACAAGACCAGTAAGGAACAGAAGTAGAAAGAAGTGGTGGATCCCAGTGCTGGATGGAAAGACGTTTTCTCTGTGTGGCAGGCAAGAACACGGCCTCCATCACCACCTAATTTTTGATGCTCCATGAGACCACCAGCAAAAATGGGAGGCAGGCAGCTCCAGGAGCTACTTAGTGAGCTAGGATTGAGATATTAAAAGCAAACCGGGGACAGAAACCCTTGCCAGACCCTTTCTATTCAAAATCTGCTCCTTCTCCTGCCCGAGCTCTCCTTCCAGAGGAAGCTGGCTGGGAACAGAGCCGGGGGTTTAAGCTGCTCAGTGCTTTGACCTTTCCTTCCCAGCACGACGCGCGCGGAGAGGAGCTGAGGGCTCACGTTCACACCCCTGGAAATGTCAAGCCCTGGCAGCCTGGGACTGAGACTGGGAGAGAGGCTGGGAGCCCTCGCAGCACGAGGGATGGCAAAACCAGGCTGCAGTTAATTAAGCCCAGGATGCATGCTGTTAACCACTTACTGCCCTCCGGAAGGGAGTAGTTTCCATCTCTGCCTTCCCGCTGCGTGTAGGAGGATGCTCCGTGGAACCTTTGCCATGCAGGTAAGGTCACAGGCACCCCTAAAAGCTGGTTGCCCCTTGTCAAATGATGCTGTTAGCCTCCCTTACTGCTGCAGCGGGAGGCTGGAAGTCTCGTTCCTCCCTGTGGAGCAGTGGCTCTTCTTCCCCTTCGCCCCCTCATCTCACCCCCAGCCCCCCTTCACCCAGCCGATCTCTAACCCACAGAAGCGAAGCGAGAGCCTCAGACATCCCTGCTCTGAGTTTCCATGGGAACAAAAGTGCTGCTGGTCCTCCCAGCCCTGCAGATGCTGATTTCAGGGCAGAGCATCCTGGCGATGCCAAGGATAGGAGAAAACCATCCCTACCCTTCCACAGATCAGCCTAAAAAATCTTCCCAAATTTCCCCTGCTGCAGGCAGGGGATGAACACTGCTCAGCAGATGTACCACCACACAGGTCCCTGTCAGCCCGACACTGCACAGGGTTGTGGTTCCAGCTAGATCAGCACGAGATCTGCTCTGGGACAGATTTTCTTTTCCCCTGCAAGGCAGAGATGTGCCCCAGCCGTGTGGAGAGTTTACATCCCATGGCCAAACTCCAGGGAAATAAGAAGGAAGGAGCAGCCTGGGGCTCAGAGCAGCAGCGAGGTGAAGCCCAGGCTGCTTAGAGAAAGGGGAGAGGCATTTAGCAAGGAAAAGCTGGACTCCCGCGGGGAAGCATTGCTATGGGATACCAGGATGGCACTCTGCTCCCTGCTCGGCATGATTCCTACACGCTTGTGATGTGCTGCAGCACAAAGCACGGGCACATACACATACATCTCAGGAGTAGCATGAGCCAGGCTCTTACGCCGCTGAGGTTTTCCTGCTGCGGCACGCTGGCCTCTGCCTGCTGGCAAAGCCTCTCCAGGCATCACATACCTGGAAATCCGCCTGCCAGGGCTCGGGACTGATCTGCTGCAGGTCCTGCAGGTGGGTTTTCCGAAGGGGGTTTTTCACTAGGGCGGTGCCGGGATCGCTGGCCGTGGGCACCTTCTTGCAAGGCTGGTGGTCGGCGATTTGGGTGGTGCTATACGCCCGTCTCCTGGAGGAAGCCTTCACGACCATTCCTGCACGGTGGGAGAGAGGATGAGCTCCGCTCCGGAGCGGGACCAGCCAGCACTGTGCACCCTTGGCTCAGGGGAGCAGGGAGCCCAGCCCAGTGGTCTTCCCAGGGCTGAGGGACCCAGGCTCAGCCCTGCCCTGTTTGAAGCGAAGCAAAGAAACCATGAAAGGAAATGAGAGCCTACACTCCTAACTCCTGGGGCTGTGGGGAGAGCAGGCTGGGGAGGTTTTGTCTGAGCACTTTTCAGCCAGAAAAAGCTTGACTGCGTTTCCCCAAACCTCCCTGGAGAAGACAAAAGGCTTCACTAATGAAATTTCATTAGCACAGACATTCTCCTGTCAGAGCAAGAGTAAAATTCTTTTTGGAAAGGCATGATAGCTCGTTGCTTTTGACAAGGTTGAGGGGATCTGCAGCACAGCTCCTCTCTTGAGTACGAGAGAACACCCCAGGAGTAGCAGAGGTGTCCTTGTCACACGGGTGCAGCCAGCTCTGGGGTGCAACCAGCTGCTTTATGCTGACACAAACACCCAGCCGAAGGGTGCTGGTGAGGGGAAGCCCCCTAGGGACAGGGCTTTGGATCCATTTCCCTCTCTCCTGGCTTCCAACTGCAGCTTGCAGGGAAGCAACTGCTTTGCAGGTGCAGGGACAGTCTAGCTGCGCATCCCATTTGCTCACTCCTCCTTCCCCGCACACCGGAGAGCAGCTTGGGAAGCTCGCAAATAATTATTTGGCCAAAGCTAGAGCTGCTTTGAAAATCTCCAGGGAAGCCAGTTCTCCAGGGCTTCCCTTGATTTCCTGACAGGTTTGGATAAAACATCCAAACCAAACAGACTCGCTCCAGCCTCAGGAGATCTGTCATCCCTCCTGCAAAGCCCCCCAGCGCTTTGCAGCCGGAGAGACTGATTTGTCAGACAAGCAAATTGGCAGCATAGCGACGGAAGCTTGATTAGCGAGACAGGGGCGTTGCACCCACGCTAGTACAGAGGAAAATCTGACCGGTGTCCGCGTCTGATTCTCCCTCCGGATCTCTGCCCACCATCAGGTGATCAGGGGCACGCTCAGCAGGGCAGCAGCCCTCCGAGTCTCTGGAGTGGTTCCAGCTCTCCACGCCTGCTCCCTCCTCCTGGGAGTGAAAGAAAACAGAGCTGCCCGACTCCTGGGAGCGCATCATGCTGTAACGCCGCCGCTTGTCCTGGGGGAAAGCAGAGAGAAGGGGTAGGTCCTACCACTGCCTCCACCAGCCACCTCCCAGCCCAAGCACCAGTGCCCCTATCCACCGAGCTCCTGTTTGTCCCTGATGTCTCACTCACCATATCCCTTGAGGACAGAGAAAGAAAGCCACAGACACCTCCTGACCACGCGCGCACCGACACCCCCTCCTCCCAGGAGAGTCCTGCCAGCCAGCGCAGCAGGGACTCACAGATCTGGGGTTGGAGATGTACGGGGAGGTGTCACAGACGATGCCGTAGCCGACCAGGTGGTCACCAGGGAAGAGGCAACTGGTGCTGACAGGGGAAACCAAGACCTCGGTGCTCTCAGGGAAGACCCACTCCACGGACACGTCGCTCAGGACCGGTGCCATCGCCTTCTTCAGCGATTTGATCATCTGAGGGAGAAGGCAAAGGAGAGAGGTTATGCAGCCAGCGGACGTTGCGTGTGCCGGGGTGCGTTGCAGGGGAAGGGGAAAACGTCTCCAGGCAGATCCACCAGCTGATTTGTACCCTCTCCTGACCTTAGGAGCCTGCTCCCTCTTAGACTGCTCTGACGCCCGTCCCAGCACCCCCAGCCCCTGGACATGGTTATACCAAGGGCAGCAGAGCAGATACAAAGCACAGGGCTGCTCTCACACTGCATTTTGGCAGCTCAGAGCAAGGTGGGAGCTTGTGGCCACAGGTATCTTGCTTCGGTGCAAGGCAGGATCCTCTACCTCCCCCTCCCAGCACCCAGGAGAAGCTGTTGGCCTCCCCTTGTCCAAGCCCCAGCCCTGCCCCAAGCCCTGACGCCCATGAACCGACTGACAGCACTGCTATTTTTGGGCCAGGTCCTTGCCAGCACAAGCCACAGCTGGAGATCAGCAACTCTGCCAATTACCCATGTGGAGAAGACCAATATCCGTGAATATCGCATGGACAAACCTACTGGGAAGCCATCTACAAAACCTTCTCTGCACACCAGGGGAAATGAACACCAGATTTAGAGGCAGAACAGCTCAAATGTTCTCTATTGTTCCTGCTTTTTCACAGGCTGAGGAAGACACACCAGGCTGTGTTTTATCAGCCTATTAATTGATGCCTCAGACTGCTGAAGGCACCAAGCTGCACAGCCCGCAAAGCTCTTTATTAATAGCTCTGTAAAAAAACCCTCTCCCTTCACTGTCTTTGCTTTTAATTTACATCAGAAGTGTTGATGCCGTTCTGTCTTAGAGAGGTTTTTGTGTGCTCCAGGTTCCTGCAGAGGGGTGGACTGCTGAACTCCTCCTTTTGAGATCAAGAACGTAGGAGCCAGCTTTTTAGAGCTATTTAGGAGCTAAAGACCCAATTCTCTCTGGGTTTAGTCATCCGGCGGGTGATGGGCTGGGCACCGTGCTTTCACCCGGGGACAGAGCCGTTCTGACGGCGTATTTGCGGCACATCTTCAGGGGGAGAGTGCAAATGAAAAGGCTCCCTCCTTTACTTTAAAGTTGGCTTAATAGGCAAAGCTACCACAGCGTATCCCTCTCCCTCAAACCCAGGGAACTTCTCGCCTGAGCCAGGCCAGGGCTGAGCCCAACTTCAAAACTAATTGGCTGCTTTGATGCCGGTTCCTCTGCCCTCACCAGTGTCTGAGGCAGCGGCTCTTTGAAGCCAAAGCTGCTGCATCGCGGCTCTCGCTTCTCCCCGTCCCCGAGCAGGGGCTAAACGCACCCTCCCACTCCCTCTGACAGCCGGAGAGGAAGCTGCTCTGTCTGTCGCCCACCTGCTGCCGAGTGGGAGTGGGAAAGGCAGCACCAGGATGAGGAATGCGACCTGCTAGCGAGCCATGGCCTCCCCCTCGCTGGACCAGCACACGGTCAGAACCTGACAGCGTGGTCCCCTGTACCTTGGGCTGCAGTCTCTCGCCCTCCATCAGGAACTCGGCGATGCCCCTGGACACAGCAGCCAGCCCCCCCACCAGTCTCCTGCAGGCGTTTGGCCCGATGCCAAAGCTGTGGCACCTGCAGAGGGATGAAAAGCGGCAGGATGTGGGGGACGAAGCCATCCCAACCCCACAGAGATCACCCACTCTCCGCAGAACCCTCCACCTCCCACTTTATCCCACTGCTGTGCAGTTATGCAGCACATCCAGAGGAAAATAAACCAGCTCCTCTTTCAGGTGGCTGGCAGAAGGGTTGGGAACTGGCATCCCCCTCCGCTCAGCAGACCTCAGATCCCTTCCCCGAAGAGCAGCCTTCAGCCGTGACGCTCGGGGGCTTCCCAGCGGGACCCCGAGCCCCTGCCTCCTCTGCAAACACAAACGAGCTGCTTTGCTGCCAGTTCAGCTCTTCTCCCTGCTGAGAGTCTGTGGTCCTCAGCGCTACAGACCCAGTAATTATCTCTGCTCACAATTAAAATAAGCGTTTTCTGAAGGGAAGGGGAACCAGCCAGGCGAGGATGCTCCCCCGACTCCCAGCTCAATGAGTCAGGATTTGGGTTTGGCTGAAGGCTGCAAACCCAGAGCTGACCTGGAGCTGGGCAGGGAGGGCAGGAGCAAGCATCCCAGTGAGGACGGATGCGGTAGAAAGCCAGGATGGGTGGGATACAGACTTCATCCGGGGCAGCGGGTAGCTGAGGAAGAAACCACCCTCAGCATCTGCACCAGGGGCTTTTCTCTTATTGGTTTTTAATCCTCAGCAAATCTTAGGTCAGCCTCACACCCTCTCAGATAATGCTCTGATCTTCTCTTGAGACAAGGGCCGCACTCTGGACTCAGTGGCGCTGGGCACTGCCTTCCAGGGTCACCAGGGACCATGCTCTCACTCCGATCGCGTTCAGCCCACCACTGCACCTCTGTAAGAGTGAGGGGTGGGTTGCCCTGTACAGCTGGGAATCAGTCAGACCTCCATGGAGTAAAAAAAGGACAGAGCATCTTCCCTGACAAACCCTGAAGTCTGAGGGATAGAAGAGGAATAAGGTTTTTTCACATTTTTCTAATGTTTCATGCCCCCTAAAGAGGGAGAGGAGAAACCAGACCAGCCTGTCATCAGGGCTGGGGAACCAGGCTGCGAGCTCGATGCACAAATGAGCTGCTTTTCACATTGCTCCCTTTCAGCATATTCAATTCCGCACAGCCCCATCCTGGAAGCAGCTGGGGCCAGACCCAGATGTGCTTGGAAAAAAACCATAAAAAAACCCGGCAAGGAAGATTGTTCGTGTGTCAGTCTCTCCTCACAGGAAGCATCAGACGAGAGCCTGTGAAGTTGTCAGCCCAATTATCCTGCTTTTGATTGTTTAAAAAGCATCTGAACTTCTGGGATCTGTTCCAAACCCTTTGAGGTTCTCCCATGGCTCATACCAGCAATCCTTCCTGCCTCCCTCTCCCAGGCGGGGACGTCTGTGAGACGGAGCCGTGTCCAAGAAGAAGCGGGTCCCCCACCCCGCCAGGATTTCTCCCCCACAGCGGCGAGTACCTGATGGAGCAGGAGTGGTTTCGCAGCAGCTCCAAGACCTTCCCTGCTGACGGGCCGGCCCCGGCTGTCAGCAGGACGAACACCTGTGGATGGGCTGTCGAACGATCCACTTCAACGGCGATAAAATGTTGGTGCCACCCATATCGGCCCGGATCCTCTTGATGCTCTCGCAGGCGATGGCCAGGCTCTCCTGTGTGAAGGAGCGATGGAATCGTCAGCCTCTGCACCAGCACCCTCCGAGCACCCGGGAAACGCAGTTCCCCCGTCACCCACCTCGCAGTAAGGCTGACTGGCAGGGAAGAGGGTCTTGAAGGTGGATCCAAACCCAATGATGTTGAAGAGACACGCTGGCATCAGGCTCTTGAGAACGACCAACAGGGCATCCTGGGGGGTGGGAAGCAAGCAGACATCAGGTGTGCTGGGTCCCTCCCTGGATGTCCCAGCAACACTAGTAAAAGCTCTGCCCAGATCTTACCTTACTATCACCCCTTACTCCCACCTGGATTTGCATGCATGGCAGGACAAGGGGCAATGGCTTTATGTTGAAAGAGGGTGGATTTAGATTGGATAGAAGGATAAGAAATTCTTCCCAGAGAGGGTGGGGAGGCACTGGGACAGGTTGCCCAGAGAAGCTGTGGATGCCCCATCCCTGGAAGTGTCCAAGGCCAGGCTGGATGAGGCTTGGAGCAACCTGGTCTAGTGGAAGGTGTCCCTGCCCATGGCAGGGGGGTTGGAACTAGATGGGCTTTAAGGTCCCTTCCAACCCAAACCATTCTATGATTCTATAATTTGACAATAAAACAACTGCTTCTTTCACAGGCACTGCATGTGAAACCACTGCACGTTACTCTGCTCTTTCCAAAGCCCCTTCACGATATTTGGGTCCCCATGCAGTGAGGAAAATGGGGAGCCTTCCAAAAAAAAAAAAAAGATGAACAAATTTTTCTGTTTGTTTTTAACTGATTAAATTTGTGCTTGCAATACGGTTCTGCGGCGGAGCTGGTGGGTGAGAAGCAGAGTGTGAAATTGAGAAGTGTGACACGCAATGCATTTCAATGTCCAAACTTGCAAAAAATAAACAAACAGCTTAAAGTTACACAAAAGGAAAAGCCTCCCCCATCCCCAGTTCTCTTGTATTCATAGCTGGCAGCAATTAAAATAACCGGGAGAGACAGTTTTAAGCTATTTTCTTTACCAGAGGTTGTTATCTAACTTGCCTATTCCTGGTCTTTACATAAGAGAAGAGCAATTTAAATTGTCTTGGGCATATGTGATGGCCGTGGACAACTCCAGGATGAAGCTTGTGCTGTCAGCAACAGGGCAAGAGCCACCCAAGGAGGTCCTGAGCTTGCAGGGGCAGCAGGAGAGGGAGGCCAAATTAAAGGAAGGACTGGCAGCATTTCAGGAGCAGCTCCGTGCTGGGTATCTGCTGATGAAGGCAGACTCCGGCCAGTCTGCCTAGGGCAGCAGAAACCCTGGAGCCAGCCCCAGGAGAAGAGCTGCCAAGGTCAAAGGAGCAAGAGCAGCCTCCTTGCTTTGTCATACGTGGTGGCAGGGACGGAGAAACGGTGAAGACTGGGTGCTGGAGCTGCACAGGGAGCAATCCCCCACCTGGGAAGAGCCACAGGGAGAGGGGTGGCAGGTCCCCCCGGCTACCGACCCCCATAAGGCTCAGCAGCAGATTGCACGAATCGGTGAAATAACGCACGCGAATGGGGCTGCCCTTTAACAGGCTCCAGAGGACTTTACAGCAAGCTGTTATCTCAAACCTACGAGAATATATTTATACCACTGCTTCCCAGATGGCTCCTGGGATGCCAGCTCTTCCAAACCTCACTGCTGACATCTCATCTCAGAACTAATTACAAGGAAAAAAAAAAACCAAACGCCAATTTCTAAGTATTTCTGTTAAAGCTCTTCCCAAAGTGGGCAACCGATGCCTGCTTTCTGTTTCAGCAAGCGGAAAGATTTATTGCTTCTTCTGGTAAATATTGATCTTGATCCTGTTGCACTCGATATCTAGACAGCAGCTCAATAAGGAGAGATGTTTGCCTCCGGAGCAGTCAATTCCCAGTTATTAGCGTAGCTTTGGCAGCGTGCCTGATTGGTACCGGCACTGTCCTGGGCCTGGCTCCTCTCCCCAGCTGCACCAGGATGGGAAAGGAACCAGGATATTTGAACTTTCCACCCCAGCCACTTCATCCAAGGATCCCCACGTGGTCAGCACGTTGCCCTGAAGCATCCCTTGGAGCTCCCTGGAGGTTTTCCATGGGCAGCAACCTGCCTCGAGCCCTCCCGGAGACAGGGAGAGCTGGAGAAGGGACGCACAACACGCGTAACGCCAGCAAGGAGGGGGAAAGGAAAACATCTTTGCACGTGATGCGCTGATAGGAAGAAGAGGAACAGAACGGGGCAGAGCCAGCTTTGCCACAGCTCCCTAATGAGCCACACGGTTGAGATAACTAAAGCTACAGCATATAATTACCCCCCACCCCCTGGTAATGAACACTACCGGCACCCAGCAACCCCCACTGCTCTCTAACACTCCTCCCCTCCCGCGTGGTACCTTGGCGCGGGTGATGTTCATGCTGCTCATGCTTCTGCTGCGGTCCACGAGGAAGATAAACTCCCCTTGGGCTTTCCGGAGGTCTGGCTGGACGGTCCTCAAGTCTGGGCAGAAGTTGAGCATGACGACAGGGTGGTGGGGGATGTCCTTGTTCAGCCGCTTCCTGATGATTTCCGTCTACAAGGAAGAAGGGGAGAGCCTGAGAGGTTGATTTTTCTGCCCTTTTTCAGTTTGAGGGGAACCAGAGCAGGGCTGTGTGCCCAAAGATGTAGGCGTGTAGCCTTCTGTGGGCAGGGATCAGCTTGTGCTGGCCTCAGTGGTGACAACACCTGAGCCTGGGTTGTTCTATCCACCTGTGGAGCTGCCCTGTGGGCAAACAGGATTCCTGCCTCCTCCCAGCCCCTGTCACGCTTTGCCTGGGGGACAAAGGCTGGCAGAAATCAGGGACCCCAGCACACGTGGAGCGGCTGCATGCTCGGATGAGAGCCTGGAGAAGGAATGAGAAGATCTGGCCCTTTGCAAGTGTCCAAACGTTTCATTAGAGCCCTCCGGAAAACGTGGTTCATGAGCGCGGCTCGGTGCCGCACTGAGGCACGCCGGAGGTTTTGTCCGTGGTCACTCAATAAGGCAGTGCCAAATACAGCCGTCAGCATGGTGTGTTCACCGCTGCAACTCATTCCTGCAGCCCCTGGTTTGCTGTTTTTCCATTAAACACTCTGGAAAGCCGAACTGGTCGCTCAGGGCACCGTTGGATCGGAACCCCCACGCTCCGTGTCTACGTACACACGTAGCTCTGATGGCTCTCTGCACTTTGCCTCATTCTGTTTCAAGTATCATTAAAAATGTGATAAAATTAAACAGGAAAAACCCTCGTGGCTGGTTTATAATTGCTGTTATGTGTGTATAAAGCTGTCCTGGGTTTATGGTCCCACTGCTTTTGGGGGAGCTCCAGGACCCCACACCGTGGGGTGCGTGGCCTTTCGTCCGTGGTTCTGCAGCGCACAAACACGCTCGACAAGAAGCAGCTCAGTCCTCAGTGTCTGCCTTTGCCTTTTTTTCCCTTCCCCTCCCTCTTTCAAAGGCTGCTGTTTCTTTCTGGTTTCACCAGGAGTAAACCAGACCCCACATAACCGGGCTGGTTTCCTCCAGTGAGTCACATTCCTAGATCTCCGAGCTAACCACCAGCCTTTATTTTATGTAACTCACTCCACTCAAGAGTCAACTCATCCACGCAGGCTTCGCTTTCGGCTGCGCCGCCTGAGCGCTGCTCCGCTGACCCCTTGGAAAGACAGTCCCCGTTCCCAGGAACATGTACCGTGCTGTCACCTCTCACTCCTCCTCCTGCCTTTCCCTCTCATGTTTGGAGGATAAATTAATCAGGCACTGGGAATTCGAAGGGCTTTTTCCATCCCTGTTTTGCCCCATATCACACTCTTCTATTTAACATCTTTCCCAGCACGGATGTTTATTGCATTTCAGACTGGAGGGATCCTTGCTCTCTCTGCCTGAGGACCAAACCGTGGACCCTGACCTTCTCGCAGCCCCCCCTGAGCTGCTCCTGGGGACCTAAGACATAAAATCCCCGTGTGATCGGGATGAGCCCGATGGGTTTCCCCCTGACTTCAGAGGGGATTTTACAGGCAGCCTCGGAGCTGCTGCTCCAGGTCAGGCAGCAAAGCAAACGTCTCATCCACGCCGTCTCTCCTCCTCACCTCTCCTCCGTTCCCCTTCGCCCGTAATCCAATTACGGCAAACTAATCAGATCTTGTTGGCCGGGAGCTGATCCCAGCTCGCGTTCGTCCCCGCCACCCTGCTAGCTGCCGGGCATCCGAGGCTTTTGCATAACAAACCGAGGGCTGAGAATTAATTATCAGCTACTGCTGAAATTTCTGGGCTAATT